GTAACTATAAATGGAACCAGCTCAGATATTAAAAACATTTCAATTGGTATACTTCAGGGATCCATATTAGGTCCTTTTCTCTATATTATCTATATTAATGATCTCAATCTTCCTATCAAACATTCAAAAACGTATCATTTTGCTGATAATACTAATCTACAATTAATAACAAACTCTCTTAAAAAACTTAATAAATATATTAATCAGGATATGGCAAGTTTTTTTCAATGGCTTAGAGTAAATAAAATCTCATTGAATGCTAAAAAATCAGAAATAATTATATTTAAGACTCAAAATACTATCTTTTCTAAAAAAACTAAGAAAAATATTCCAAAATTTTTCGATTAAGTTTTTCGATTAAGTGGTCAAAAAATGTCTAGTAATATAACTTATCTTGGTGTTGTGTTAGATGAAAAATTTTCATTCAAAACACATGTATCCGACCTTACTCTGAAGTTAAGCCGTTCCAACCGCATGTTAGCAAAAGTTTGACATTACATTAACTTTGAAACATTGTTCTCTATATAAATCTCGATTTTAAGTTCGCATTTATGATACGCATGTCAAGTTTGGGGACAATCTAAAACGTATGTCTCTTTAGAGTTGTTGCACTTCAAAATAGAGTGGTACTGATTATTTATTTTTGTCCGAAAAATTTTGTTACTGATATCCTATATCTTACATCCAAAATTCTTTGTTTCTATAACTTAATTCAGTTCGTAAATTGTTTATTTATCTGGGATCAACAACACGGTGTCCTTCCTACTATATTTCAGAACTATTTTAATAACAGAACAATATGTGGGCATAACCTAAGATCAGTCACTTATAAGAACTTAACTCTCCCACTAAAACAGACAAGTAATCGTGGAATTAATTCCATTACATACCAGTGTATCCTTTCTTAGAATTCCATTCCGAACACCCTAAAATTAGGTCTCATCCTTAGGTTCAAGAATCTGTTCTTAAAGTCACTCCATCATTTATAAATGTACATTATATAAATTATGTTATATATATTCAAAAAGTCTGATTTTTTTTGGTGAAATCAAATAAATTTTTATGCAATTTTACTTTTATTAGTTAATATCAGGGCTTTGGAGCAGCTTCGGAGCTGGAGCTGTCCGGAGCTCCTGATTTTACATGGAGCTGAGCTGGAGCTGGAGCTAAAATAATTCCTGTTGGAGCTGGCTCCGGAGCTAGCTCCGAGCCAACTCCGCTCTTTGATATTTTGAATAACCAAAGTTGCATAAAGTTATTTTTTTTTTTCAAAGAAATCGAATATTTAGGCTAATTAAAATATTTATAATTTCTAAATATAGCATTTTATCATATGCTTAATAAAATGGTAAACTAGTAATTATTATAATATTAAATGTTTTATAATATTGTGATATTAATATGACATTGATAATAATAAAATTCTCAAAATTTTTTGAGAATTTAATTATTATCAAATTATTTTGTGTAATATGTCAAGTGGTTCATATTATTGAGTTTGATAAGTTACTTTAACAAAAAAATTCTAAACAATGTCAATGGTTGGTTAATGAAAATATACTTTATCCATGTGTTAAGTCACATGATTCGTTTTAACATTTTTAATAAGTTAAAACATTTAAAACATGCGAGTTCCAATTAAAATTATTCAATGAATAGTTAAGTTTTTAAATTTTTTTATTTATTATTAATGCCAATTAATTATATAGTGCTATATAATGGTTAGTTGTTGTTTATTTTATCTATAGTTTTTAATAAAAATAGCTTCAAAATCAAACAATCCTGAGAGGCTTCTAGATCAGTTTTTTTCAATTGATAAAGTTACAAAACCGGCGACATGCATGATTACAGAAAAGATAAATGATAAAGTGATTTTATGCGGCGTGCAAATAAAAAAATAAAAAATTAACAATATGAAACGGCATTTGGAAATATCACATTTATCAAAATATAAAATTATTGAATCTGAAATGAGCCTTATGACCAAAAGAAAATCTTCAGAATCATTTTTATCACATTCACAAGATATCAATACTAAAAAATCAAAGCAGTCTACTTTAGATTCTTTTGCTATCACTAGTAGTAGAACAATAAATCAAGTTAGTGCTAAAACTTTTAAAATGGGAATTATTAAAATGGTAGTGTATAACGGAGTTTCGTTGAAAACATTTGCGGATGAAGGATTTCAGTTGGTTACTAGCCAATTAAGTAAAACTCTTGGATTCAGTGCTGGACACGATTCTGTACGCAATTTAATTAATGAACTTGCTGAAAAAAAGAAAGCTGAAATAAAAGAAATACTTTTACAGAAATTTTTATATGCGAAAATAGATACAGCCACTCGACACCAAAAGAACTATTTGGGAATAAATATTCAATAAAATTATGCGGAAAAAATCAAGTTAAAACTTTACACTGATAGAGACAGAAGGACAGCACAACTCTGCTGCTATCAAAAAAATGGTAGAAGAAACTCTTTATAGATTTGGTATCAGCAAAGATCAAATAGTATGTGCAAGTGTAGACAATGCAGCTAATATGATTAGAGCAGTCACTTTTAAACGAATATTCTGGTGATGAAAATTTTCAAGATGAAGCCTTGCAGGACGAAGAACAAGAGGAGTTTTTACAACAGGATACAAATGAGGGAGAAAGTGCTGCGGCTTGGGAAGAAAATCTACCCTTTGTCCTCCTAGATTGGTGTCATCAATTGTCTCATTACATTAAGCTGATGCGCTGTGTTATTCACACTTTGCAGCTAGTTATTCGCGATGCTTTAAAAAAACCATAAATTGCACAACTTTTGGCAAAAGTCCATTATGCTGTAAAAAAACTAAGAAACTCACATACAATATCATTGGCAAGGAAGCAATACAAGGTTGTTCCAATTTTGGATAATGTGACACGCTGGGGTTCTACATTCCGGATGATTGAACGATTATTACTTTTGCGTCCACTGTGTGAGCAATTTGCTGCAGTTGATTAGGTATTCTTTCTACCCCCTGAAATATGGAATGAGTTGAGTCATCTTCGCGACCTTTTAAAAAAGCCATATGATGTGACAGTTAAACTTCAAGGAATCGACATCACTCCCGGAGAATTCCTAAAGGAATGGTTAAAATTGAAACCCGACCTAGAGAAGAATCAAGGACTAGTTGCAGAAGACATTTCAAAATCAATCCAGAAACAAGAAGGAATACTTTTTGATAACGATATATTTCTAGCTGCAGTTTATGTTGATGCCAGATATAGAATACTGTTGGAAGAAAACCAAATAATACAAGCAAAACAAGGCTTAAAAACAGTAGCATAAAAATTTATAAAAGAGATGCTAAAAGTATGATAGAAAGTCAAATAATAGGAAATACTGCTGAGCCATCTACAACACTTCTTTCAGTTTTAAGTGAATCTAATTCCGATGGAGAAGAGAATGACTTTGAAAAGAGCTTGATAAAAAAAGAAAAAAAGGAGAAGTTTGAGCAAAATTAGTTTTAGAAATAAAAATACTTTTAATACAAATTTTATGGATGGTTGTAGAGTAATGGAAGAAATGGGACGTTTAAAAGTAAAGTTAGCTTTTGAGGGAATTAAAGAGTACCCAAAAAGAATACAAGAAGCATGCAGAGTTGTCACTTGTATGCCTGTCTCACAAGCAAGTGTAGAGAGGCTATTTTCTGCTCTTAAGTTTATATCGAGCGATCTGCGTTCTTCACTCAAACCAGATATTTTAGACAATATTTTATCTTTAAGGATGAATCAAGATTTTTATTAATAAAATATTAATAGTATTTAAGTTTCTGTCATAAAACAATTAAAATAATTTTTTGATTTTTTTTTTTTTGCCGAGCCGCTCTGGAGCTGCTCCGGAGCTGGAGCTAGAGCCAAAAATTATAATGGACCCAGAGCCTGGAGCCAAAGCCAACTTTTAGACCTCGGCTCCAAAGCCCTGGGTAATATTATGTTAACTTATTTAACTTAACTTCCTTTTATAACCTACTTTTTTTTGTGGTTTTAGTTATTACATATTATTATTATTGTTATTATTATTTTTATCTTATTTAGATCATTGCGCTTTATTAGTGAATCACTATTTGCAATGACCTATGTTTTTGTAACATCTGTAACACGAAATATATTATTGTTGTTGTTGCTATGAGAGAAAACTAATGTGAAAACTTTGATTTTAACAATTTTACTGTTTACAGAAAGATAAAATATGAGGTTTTTAGCCATTTATTGAATATTTTGATGCTGTAAACATGGTAGCTTTTTATTTTTAAATAAAAGAGATACTTTTGGAATGTAAAAAGTTAACACATTTTTTTTCACTTGTTTTCATGACTTCATATAATACATAATTTACAAAAAATTTTATTTGTTTTATTTTTTACAAAATTTTTATTAGTTTGTTTTCTTGCCACTTCATGTTTTATGTATTTTAGTGGTTGTTTTATATTGTTTTATACTTTGATTGAAAAAAGATTTATGAAAAAATAATAAATTATATAGAAAGAGATTAAATTCTACTTTTTAAAAATATATAATAGTAATAGTTGAAAATAAGCAAAACACACAAAAAGTTGAAGTTTAAAAACGCAAATTTTAGTTTTTAAGAAATGCAATTTTTTCGGATCCTTAACTGAGTATACACTTTCATTTTAAAATGTTTCATGATAAAAATGTTTTGCTATAAATAGTATTATTATTTATACAAGATATAAAAAGAGTTTTACTATTGCTATTAGTATTATTAGTGCTAATAAGTAATAAAATAATTTTTTTTTACAAATTCATGTTTCATGAATTTATGATTAGATACTTATATTATATATTGGTATGGAGCAAACCATTTTAGTTTTTATTCAGAGTTTTTGACATTTTTTTTTTTTTTTGGTGCTTTTCCCTTGTGTATCAAAAATGACTGTTTTTAAATAAAAACATTTTTTAACATTCTCAAAACCACTAATGTATATAAAAATGTTTTACTTTTTATTTTTTAGTTAAAGCAGAAAATATTGAGTTTATTTTAAATCCATTATCAAAGCCTGTTGCAGTAATCAAATGGAATGTAACTGCTGACTTTTACACAGTTTATTTTAATCGATCAAGATCTTACTATATTAATGGAGGAAATACTGAATTCAAAACAAATACCAATCAATCCGAAACAACAATCACTCTGGGTATTATTTTAGTATTTTAATTTTGAATATATGTGGAGTTTTGTATTCAATATATATATATATATATATATATATATATATATATATATATATATTATATATATATATATATATTATTTGTGAAGAAATTGATGATGTTTTTTATTAAATTGTTGGATTTTTATTTATTAGCATTTTATATGCTTTTCCAGGCTACCATCAAGGATGATTGAGATACCTTAAGAGCACAAGAATTAGTAAAGAAAGGGGTGCAAAACTATTATTTCTCTATCAATAAGCAATAATTGTTTAAAACATAAACTTGACATACAAAAAACAAAATAAAAACTACAGCTGAACTTTTATAGTTTGTAATTTTGTCCATATAAAAAATTTATATTCAAAAAGATTATATACATACATACAAAAAACTGCAATACATACACCTATTAATAGGCTTATGTTAATACACCTAGCACCATCTATTCTGCCATTCTTTTTGTCAGGAAGTTTGATTTTAAAATTTGGAAGGTCTTTCTGTCCACATTCAGCATGATTTTTTTGATTTGGGTCCAGGATGGCTTTGGCACAAATCTTTTTTTGGGACTAAATTTAATCTTTTTTAAAAACATTTCAATCTTTCTCACAATATTACTAGGAAGTAAAAAAATTTTTTTTAACATAGTATTATTTTTAATTAGTACTGTAAGTTCTAAGCTGTTGTTTTTTTTAAATTGAAATTTGATAAACAGCTCCTAATGTTACAGTGTGTGTGTGTGTGTGTGTGTTCGTTCCTGAAGTCCTTACAGTCTTATCACAGAGCACCATGTAAGAACATTTAACTAATAAGTTCACGCCTCTTTTACCAATGACGCTTATTAGGCTAGAGCCGTCATTGAACCAGAACGCTAACAACTGCGTCACAGCTGCACAATTAGTCTTGTTTTTCTTTTTGTTCAAATATCTTTAACAAATAATAAATTTTGTTTTACAGAAGCATTAGTATCTGGTAAAATGTTATTTCCACCAATTTTAATAAATTTTTATGACCAAGCTTTGGAACAGTTTCATTATTTGTCGCATTTAAAAAAATGTGAATTTTAAGATAAAATACATTGCAATCTTTTTTTAATCAGGTTGTCTTCAATCAGTGTTACGAGAATAAATATTTAACTTGTTAATATTTATTTATTTTACTGTAATCTAAATTTTTTTTAGGCATTAATTATACCCTAGTCAATGCATTAAACTGACCTTATATTGAAGAAAGTATGGCTTGTTAGCCCAATTGACTTACTTAGGTGTAAAAGTTTTGATACAAAAGCTTAATTTAGTTTGTGGCTAAGGATAAAAAGAGCTAATAAACCTTGGCTAGCTAGCTAGTAATCCTCCTAATGGTAGTATCAGAGCAAAAATACTCAGTCCTAATATGCAAAAAAGGTTAGATTTCTTCAACTTCTACATACTTTCAAATTTAGATAAGAAAATAGCATTTGGAAACCTATCTAAACCACACAAGAGAAATTAGAACTGTTTCACAATACCCATAATGTTTAATGCATGCATTTTTTATTCTTATTAAACCTCAAAATACATAGTGGCAGAAAAAATAATACATACAACATTTAATTATTTTTAGTTGTAATAATTTTCTAAATTATTATAACTGAAAATTTTTTTTAAAAAGTAAAAAACCTAAAATTGCAGGTATAACTTTTGTTATACCTGCAATTTTTAGGTTTAATATAATTAGTTACTAAAATTTAAAAAGCATTTTTATAGACTTTAAAAAGGAAACCATGCTAAAGCGTGATTACTTTCTTCAATAGCATTACTTTCAAGTAAAATAACTAAGTTGCTATTGAAGAAAGTAACTGTTTTTATATGGTTTTTGCATGCATTTACTAAAGTATGCCAAAACTTAATTAAAATAAATGCATTTGCAATTACTTTAAAAGAAACCATGCTTAAACATTATGATTATTTTTAAATATTTTTGAAAGTTTTGAAAATAATTTATAAGTAAATATATATAATCTGATAGAATATATAGACTTATGTTTTTATTATGCGTTTAACAACACCAATAATATGATATTTTTACTTATTTAACTTATTATTAAATACATAATATGATATTATTTTTAAAGGTTTTAAAAGAGATGTCAAAACAACTTTTGTTTTATTTTTAGTTTCTTTTATTTTAATTTATTCAAGTTATACTCTTATTTTTATTTTATTTTATTAGTAAATAAATTTAATAAACTAAATTGAAAAAAGTTCACTGTTTTGTATCAATAGATAACATTTACAATCATTAGGTCATTGCATAATAATTATCATTAATTTGTGAGTACTTTGCAAATGTGTATAAAATTGTTTTTAAAAAATAAAAATTTATTAAATTCAATAAGCATCTTTGATACATCTAATAACTTATTAACTAGAATAAAAATTATTTGATAATAAAACTCCCTTATTTGACATATATCATATATATATAAAAAAAATATATATATGATATATGTATATATTTTTAGTTATTATGATTTTGGAACCAAAATCATATTAACTTACCTCTTACATTTATCAACATTTTAAGTTATAGGGAAAACTGTAAATATATTCTACGATCTGCTCTCAACTTTAAATTATCTGTACCTAAATACCGAACTGTTCATTATGGCTACGAATCCATACAACATAAAAGCATACAAACCTGGAACAATCTCCCTTCCCAATTAAAATCTCTTAAATCATTCTCAAAATTTAAAACTGCTCTCTTTAACCATATTTTACAAAAATACTCTTTATAAATCTTTTACCTTTTTACAACTTATTATTTATAACGCAGTGCTTCTATTCATCTTTTAATGTTTCTCATTTCTATCGTGATATATTACTAATTTTAATATCAATTATTAAATTTATTATTATAAACTGATATGTTTCTATAGTATTCTCTTATCACTGTTGTTGTTATTATTACTATATTTTATATCATAATTTATATCATAATGAATATTATTGTAATGTTATTATTATTGTTGTTATTATTTTTGTTGTTATTATTGCTATTATTATTGTTATTATTATTATTATTATTATTATTATTATTATTATTATTATTATTATTATTATTATTATTATTATTATTATTATAGTATATTCTTTTTATAATCGCTACTATTATTTTTTTTATCACTATAATCACTACTATTACTCTTATTATTCCTACTTGTATTATAATTATTATTATTACTATTTCCATCTTGTTTTTATTTATTTTGACAGATGTTTACTTTATATTAGTACAAATTACTATTTGTAAACATCCTTGATGTAACAACTTTATTCAGAATATATTTGATTTGATTTGATTTTGATTTGATTAAATATATTTCAAATATATATATATATATATATATATATATATATATATATATATATATATATATATATATATATATATATATATATATATATATATATATATATATATATATATATATATATATATATATATGTATGTATGTATGTAGTAAGAAAGTTTTTCCCATAAACTGTAGTTTTAAAGAGCGCGTTTATAAACCAAACCAAAAAAAGCTTAAAAACTTAAATTTTTTTTTCCCTAAATGATAGACTGCCTGCATGTATGTAGCAACGCTCCACACATGTTTTAAAAATATATTTTTTAATAAAACAACAAAACACCATTAATTAAAAAACACGTTCTATTCATTATTATTGGTTTCTTTTAAAAAAAACAATAAAATCTAATGATGTACTTCCACATTTTATATATATATCAGGCTTGGTCGGGAAACGGGTGCAATCGCACTCGATAATTGACCACGGAAATATTATTTAATTGCGAAAAACCGGCCGGATTTTTTAGTCGTTTCGAGAACATTTCAAAAATAAGCAAAAAAGCGCAATAAGATTAACTGGACCGATGAGAGACAGTTAAAAAAAGAAAAATAGCTTTTAACGCAAAAAAAACTTTAAGCAAAATAAATGTATTAGAGCAATTATTTTTGAAAAGTCGCTCTTTTATAATTTTTTTTATAAAATTAAGCGATATTTTTTATAAAAAGTAACAACTATAAAGAAACAAATGTTCTTCGATTTATCAAAGAGTATATATGGTTTTTATTTATATACTTATGTCTTATTTCCAGTGCTGGATTGAGGAGGTGGGGTGGGGTAGTAGGGCTATAGCCCCAATACTCACAATGTTCGGTGCAATAGTCAAGAGGACCATTCGGTTTTTTTTTTTAGTCATTTTTATGCTGTGGCACATAAAAAAGGCCGCCAAAATAATGCAGCCTCTTGCCCTAACATTAAATTACTTTGTGAGGAGGAAGCGGAGCTGCTTCACAATACTCCTGATGATGTTTTAGTAAGTGGGCTTTATAATTTTAATTAGTATTTAAAACAGAAAAAAGTTACTCTAAGTATTACGAGTTTGTAAGAATGGCTGAAGCAAAAATAATTGAAGTTAGTAAACCAGTTTTTAAGAACTTGAAAACTTTTCTTTCTTGGGAGAAAGAATCAGTTATCGGGTACACTGAGGAAAATGGATTAGTGGTTAAAATTATTTGTATTAACTTTGATGATTATCAATAATTTCATTAAAAACGCAGTAAAAGTATTTTTGTTTACAAAATCAATCGCACATATTGCTTTAAAAGATTACATTTGAATAAAATACACATACATAAAATTACATACATAAAAAATACATACATAAAAATTCTTTACATACATAAAAATACATTCCATACATAAAAAATACATCCCTTATATATAAAAAATTAGAATATACTAATAAAATCTATAATATATTTACAAAACGTTGACAAGTTAAAAAATATAAATTTAAAGCATTTATTATTGTAAACAAATAATGTTAGTTTAAAACATTTATAGCTTTGTAGATGTGGCTCAAAGAATTAAAATAATAGTTCGTTTGATAGTATATTGTTAAATTTATGCTAGAAATCTCAACAAAAACGTAACAAAACTCAAATAATACAATTTTTTTTAAATATTTCAACAGAATAATCAGGACATTCGATTAGTATTTTTAAAATACTCTAGAAATTTTGGTTAGTATTTTTTGAACCAATAGAAATAGTTGTTCGTAGATTTGGCAGGTTTTTAGTGTATTTTAGGATAAAATGAACTTATTATTTTGCAGACAAACAAGAACACATACAAAAACTTAAATGTTCTCAAAACGACTAAAAAATCTGACCGGTTTTTCGCAACTAAGTATTATTTCCGTGGTCAGTTATCAAGTGCGATCGCACCCGCTTTTCGACCAAGCCTGATATATATATATATATATATATATATATATATATATATATATATATATATATATATATATATATATATATATATATGTATATATATATATATATATATATATATATATATGTATATATATATATATATATATATATATATATATATATATATATATATATACATATATAATGCATTGCATATAATGCACTTCCACACATATATATATATATATATATATATATATATATATATATATATATATATATATATATATATATATATATATATATATATATATATATATATATATATATATATATATATATATATATATATATATATATATATATAGGCTGACCTTTTTTTTTTTTAAAAAGAGTATATTTTCTAAACCCAATGATAAGCTGCAAAATGGGTCAGATTTTTATGATGGAAATCAAAGTATATTATATCTGTTAATGTAGATATATAAAAAAATTTTAAAAAGGCATGGTAAAACCATGTAAAGCCAATATAATCAGTTAACACAATATTTTTAAAATAAATCTAGTTTAATGCTGCTCAACTTTAACTCCAATCAGATATTGACAAAATTGTTCTTTGAACTAAGTCTTGGCTCATGGAGCTAAATGCAAAGAAATGCAAGGTCATGCACTTAGGCCAAAAAAAAATAATTCCTTTCAAGTACTCAATGGAGGAAATGTGCCCTTGTTCAATAACGACTCGAACTACATTGGAAGCAACCACCTCTGAGTATGACTTGGAAATTCAAATTGCCAATGACCTTAAAGTAGAAACCAAATCCATGATTGCTTCATGTAAAGCAAATAAAATGTTAGGCATCCTAAAACACACTTTCCAATCTCGTGAAGCTTCCTTATGGAAAAAATCTACTCCACCTACATCTGTCTTTTACTTGAGTTAGCAATTCCAGCTTGGAACCCTCATTTGGTGAAGGATGAACAAACTATTGAGCTAATACAGCGCAGAGCCACAAAAATACCAGGCAAACTGAAAAACTTAGACTACTAGTCCAGATGTTTACCACTTGGCCTATCTACTCTAGTTGAATGTCGCAAACTAGGTGACCTCATCCAAAAATACAAAGTTGTTAATAACATTGGCATAGTCAACTGGCACTTTCCCCTCATCGCAATTCCACCAAGAGCAAATCAAAGAGAAAGACTTCATCGTGAAAAGTACAGCAATCATTTAGCTCGCTTCCACTTTTTTTAGCAATGGTATTGTCAATGCATGGAACATACTACCAGATAAAGTAATCAATTCTCAAACTGTCAACAGCTTTAAAGCGAGCCTCTATAAGCTCTAATGTTACTACAGCTCGCAGCTTTCCTTAGTGAAAATTACAATATGAACTTCACAAAAACTAACTGTAATCTGACAATCTATTATTTGTATTTTGTCAATTATTTTTACTTTTGTTGTAACAAGTATACTACTACTACTACTACTACTACTACTACTACTACTACTACTACTACTACTACTACTACTACTACTACTACTACTACTACTACTACACTTCTAATGATAGCTTTTACAATTTTTTGTAACTAATTTTTATTTTCTTTTGTAAAATTTTCACTTTTTGTAACTAATTTTTATTTCTTCATACTATTAGTTACATGTAAGACCTATGGTATTTTTACTATCATTACACTCTCAACTGTGCTAATTTTCAAATAGCATATTTCTTCAGCCCAGTATTGACACATTAAGATAAACTTATATTTACATCTTGATTTAGTTCATTTTACAGTAAATACAAATGCAACAAGTATTTCCAGCAGCTGAAGCTTTACTACTGCACTGGCATTATTTATATCTCCCAAAATAGTTTTCTGTCTAAAAATTATAGGAACAGATCCAGTCTTTTTGTATAACATTTAGACAATTAATTAAAATAGTTTTAATGAAACCATGACAATTAAAATTTTCATTTTACAACATATAAAAGGAATAGGTAATGATTTGGATACATTAGGAAAATAAACCAACTTGTATACTACGTGTTTACAAGTTTAGATTTGTGTCAAAAAACAAAAAGCAACCTTTAAAATAGTTTATCGTGGCTGAGATATAGATTCATTAAACTTAAATTTGTTTGTATCTTTGTATTAATCTACTCATAAGAAATATTTGATTCAAGGCACCTCAAATCATGAATAATTTCGGGTATTAAAATCACCTTCTTAACTGTTTAAACAAATCTACAGTAAACAATTTCAGATTTCAACAACTTTTTAATTATTTTTTATAGTTTATTTTTAAAAATAAAAGTTTTTCCTTATTTTAACAAAATTTTTGAGTCAATTTCCTCAACATTTCAAAAAAATTTTTGTTTTCGTTATTATATAAAAAAAGAGTATATGAGGTGATTTTTAGAAAAAGAGAGAGTATAAACAATTTTATTTCAGAAAGAGTATAATACTCTAAAAAAGAGTACGTCTGGTAACCCTATATATATATATATATATATATATATATATATATATATATATATATATATATATATATATATATATATATATATATACACTTACTAAAGCGTGTTAATAAGCATTTGAATTTGATTAAAGCGTGTTGATAAGCATTTGCTCACTTTTTCTGCTTACCTTAAGCTCTACCCTTTTTTTCAAAAAAGAAGAAGAAAAAACAAAGAATGATGAATGAAATGATTGCTTCCCCATCCCAAACCCTCAGTCGATGTAGCAGCACTCCACTGCGAGTCAAGCTATTTGTCAGTCGATTTATGTACTAAAGCCCCCAGCAGCAGGCTATTTCAGTATGACGTCAGATTGCTTACCTTAATACGCAATACTATTTGTGTATATATATATATATATATATATATATATATATATATTAATTTGTAGTTAAATGTGTGTAATATGTAATTTTTAAATAATAGATTTTGGTGCAGAATACAGCTTTACAACAACTTACACTCGCAGTATGTCAGAAAGTTTTCGCAGTCCTACAATTTTACTGAAAACACCAGATAGTAAGATTTTTATTTCAATTTAATTCATTTATATATATATTATGTGTGTGTGTGTGTGTGTGTGTATTTGTCTTTTTCCTTTAAAATTTAATGCCAAAACAAAAAAAAGCAATGACCGTATACTCAATTTTAGACTAGCATGCACGATCAAATAAATTCATCTTTTTTGCTATTTAAATTTAAAAAAAAACAGCTAAAAGAATGCTTTGAATATACACTTTATGAAATAATTAAGAAAACCCCGGCAAATCTAATATTTTATTTAATTTCTAGATAAAATAATTAACAAAAAAAAAATGCAACAAAATAAAAAAATTAAAAATGTTTTATATAAATATTAAACAAATTAATTAAAATAAAAGCAGAAAAAAACTTTTTATTTATGTTCTGCATTGAAATAATTTTAAAAAAGTGGCAAAAAAATAAAAATTAAGTTGAATTTGTTGAAATTCTAAATAATATAACTACATTCAAAATGGTAAAACTAACTTTTTATTTAAATTCTAAATTGGAGGATTAAAATAAAAATGGCAAAATGAACATTTTCTTTTAAAATAATTCATACACTTAAGTGTTTTTTCATAAAAGTATTTTATAAACAAAAGAGATAAGTTACAATTTGAAAAAAAATAATTTTTTCTTCTCGCCAAAGTTTTTGCTGGCATGTGGTCGAGTGCAAAAAGGCTTGAGCATGTCACTTTAACACCTGTTTGTCATTTTACACAGGAAAAATTAAGCTTGTACAAATATACAGTTATTTTTTTTAAACAGCAAAATTTATTATTTTTTAGGTTGAGCTGTATTTTACTTATATAAACAAAAATAGTAAATAACATCTAGTACATTTTAAATGAAATATCACTTTAAATGACTTTATTATGCAATAATATATTAAAAATATTTTTTATTTTATTGTTACTTTTTTGTGAGCGTCTTTAAGATAAAAAAGTTCCTAATTGAAGATTTTTTTAAAACTTTAACTTAATCAAAGTGAAAATAGTAGTTACACACTTATTTAAAACTTAAATCTTTTTTTAATAAACACAATAAAATGTTGTTTGTTTAAATTTGAATTATGTGACGTAAAGAATATTTTAAAAATATTGAAATCATTCCTTCAAGTTTTTATTATAAAATTTTTCATTATATTTAGTAGTCATTTCAGTAGCTAGTATTTCAGTACAATTTTTAAACTTTTTGAATTCAAAAAAAAAAGTTCACAAATTTTAACAAAGAAACTTTTTAAATGTGATAATAAGAAGAAATGCAATATATAAATATATATATATATATATATATATATATATATATATATATATATATATATATATATATATATATATATATATATATATATATATATATGAATGTATGTATGTATGTATACAGTGGTGCTCAAAAGTTTAGCACACAGCAGAATTAAATTATTAAATTTACTTTTTTCCATATATGTTATATTTTCAGTTAGTAAAGCTTAAAAAAAAACTTTTCTTCTATTTATCACTAAACCAGACATATTATTGGCCTTAATATGGGAGGTCACTCTAACATATAAATATCTCGAATTTTAAAGTGTGTTTCACCGTCATGTGTAAGTAGAACTATTGCTAAGTTTGATGAAACTTGTAGTTCTGATGACAAAAAACATGAGCGACTAAGAAAGACATATCACTGATAATAATTCTATTTATAGAATTGCTAGAAAAAATCCTAAATACTCAGCAAAACAGTTTGCATAAAAAATAAACCTGGCACTTAAAAATCAAATATTAAGGAAAACAGTTAAACAGTTAAAAGAAGACTAATAGACCGTAAGCTGTGGTGCTACATTACTGCCAGAAAACCATTATTAAAACTAACAGACTGTTAAAAATGAATTAGATTTTGCAAAGTGATTTTAAAAATGAGTAGTTATAGATTCGACCTAAAAACAATTTCAAAGTCAAGTTTGCTAAACTTATGAGCAGCTTTTTTTTTTTATATATATGATTAAACTAATCCAATAAATTTAATATATATTTTTCATTACTAACTAAAATTTCTTGCCTTTTTTTGTATTTTTAGGTTCTAAAAAAAATAATTTATATTGATTCTGCTGCGTGCTAAACTTTTAAGCACTATTGTATAAGATCTTTAGTGTTTTTACTGTTTAAGTTTATAAAAGAATGTAGCATTAAATACACATTGATGAAATTATACTGTAATAGCTATTTGTACCGACTTTAGTACATATATTGACTGACTAAATAGGGAGAACACACAAGGGAGTGCTGCTACATGGATTACAGGTTTGGGAGGCAATGTTTTTTTTCGTTTTTCTTTGCTTTTTCTTTTATTCCTAAAATTTAATGATGCTTAATAACATTTTAAGAATTTTTTTTTTAACATGGTCAATTTGATCAGATATTACATCGAAAAAAGTGCAGTCTTGAGAAAAAGCAGAACAATAAGAAAAAGAGAATAGAGTAAAAAGGTGTTAAGCCGAAGCACATAAAAGAATTGTCAGAGGATTTAAACTTGATTGCTTGACAAATCATTGAATTGATTCGTAAGTATATGCCCAAGCATGTGACACATAGAGTCTTTGTGAATTAAAAGGTAGTTCCTATCAATACTGAAATCTAAAGAAGGAATAGCCAAATTAGAATTAGTTTCACAAAAATTGGCAGGCCATGAATATTTGTTTTACAGTTATTTGGCTGACCATGATTATTTGTGAAAGCTATAATGAAACTTATGTTTAGTATTTTTACTTTGGGCATGGTTTTAAATATAAGAGTTAGAAAAAAATCAATTTGGTAGGGCGTCACGCAAAAACTTGGAAAAACAAAAATACATCCATATAAATATCAATATTGGCTTTAGACATGCATTGACTAAGGGTTTGGGTATGTGCAATCCATGTACAAAGAAGGATTATCGATTCAAAATTTTGTTTACATTGTTTTTTTTCTTTTTTTCTCTTTGTTATAAAAGGAATCATGTGAAGAATGGAAAATGAAAAGTTTGCATGATAAATGGCTGCACTATTTTAGACTAAAGAAAAGGTAATTTATAGAAAATGTGCCAATACTTGATGTTCCAAAATGAATCACTATTGTGGCGTATGTTTTTTTGTTGGAATACCAATAATCAATCATTTTTTATTTTTTTTTAATAAAGCTATGATTTTTGATAGAAGTTTTTTTGAAAATGTTGTTGTTCTCTTTTTTTTAGGGTGGGGGGTGGTCCCAATTGGTAGTCCAACATTTATAGATGCCCTACACTATATCAACTGAAAGTTTGGGATAAGGCATCAAACTTTTCTATAATTATTCTTTGTTTTTTTTTTCTTTTACTGAAAAAACTGTTTGTTTAACTTTAAACACACACACACAGACACATATGCACACGTCTTGTCTTTTTTGATGTTTTTTCTTTTTTATATGTATGTCTATGTATGTATATATATATATATATATATATATATATATATATATATATATATATATATATATATATATATATATATATATATATATATATATATATATACACACACACACACACACACAGTATGCAAAAAAAATAATCGTACACTTGAAAAAAATTCGTAATTTTAAAGATTGCATCAAAAAAATTAGTTTTCCATTAAATTATTTGAAGTTTTTTTTATTAGATATCAAGTATTGTTTAAAGAATTTATTTGTGTATTGGTGAGTTAATTGCTTTTCATACTTATTGAATTTTACACAATTGATCTAATGATGCATATAATAGACTGCAAAAAAAATAATCATACGCTGACGAAATAAGTTGTTATTTTAGCAAAAATTGAGCGAATTGAACGATTAAACTAGTTAGTAAAATTAAAAAAAAGTAATTTTTTAAATAAACTTTTGTTCTAGAAATAAAATATAGTGTTTCAGCAAAATGGCGTAGACTCGTAGTTGATTGAAAAAATAAAACCTCATAGTTGATTTAAAAAAATCTTACCATCAGATCCAAAAAGAAACAGGAATTCCTTTTACATCCTTTTTTCATGTCCTCAATTGTTAAGAAGCATAATCTGATTGAAACCATTGCTAGTGCGGCTGGCAGAGGACAAAAACCCAAGACCACTAGTGCAATTGATCGCAATATCATTAATGTGAAGAAAAATAAATTTGTTTTGACAGCTAAATTAGCTTTAAAAGTTCACAATATCAGGTTAACCCCTCAAACGGTTAGAAATCGTATTAGAGAACAAGGATATAGAGTTAGAGTAGTTCGAAAAAAACCTTTTTTTACTTTAAAACAATTAAAATGTTGATTAGAATTTGCAAAGAAGTACGAAAAAATGCCAATATCTTATTGGAAAAAAGTTTTTTGGTCAGATGAGTCCAAATAAAACCTTGTCTCATCCGATAGAGTTCAAAAAGTGTGGCAAAAAAAAAAAAAAAAAGCATATGAATTAAGTTGTTTGCTAGGTAGTGTAAAGCATGGAGGAGGAAATGTGATGGTTTGGGGTAGTATACGTTGGAAAGGAGTGGGAAAATTGACATTTATTGATGAAAAAATGGATGCTTCAATGTATTGTGAAATTCTTAAAGCCATCTACTAAAAAATTGAGAATGGGAAACGATTTTATACTGCTGCAGGATAACGATCCAAAACATATTGCTAAGAAAATGAAGGTATACTTTGACACAAATAACATCACCGTTTTGGCCATCTCAAAGTCCGGACTTAAATCCTATAGGAAATTTGTGGTATATTTTGGATAGAAAAATTGGTGACCGAGCATTTAGATGAAAAGGCAACTTAAAAGAAGCTATATTGATTGCATGGGATAATGTAACAACAGAGGAGATTCAAAATTTGGTTAACTCAATGCCAAATCATCTAGCTGAGACCACCAAGGCCAACGGAGGCCCCACTCGGTACTAATTTCCATGAAGTTTGATTAATTTGACATATTTTTGAACTGTACGATTATTTTTTTTACAGTCAATTTTATGCATCATTAGATCAATTGTGTA